GGCCAGGTACCTGGGCTTTCGTAGAACGTACGAAACGTGTAGCCGAGTAGACGGGAAACTCTGTAGGCCCTAATGCCCCTCCAGGTCACAGGGAGCGAGAGAAAAAAAGTAGGGGGTTGGGTGGGAAAGTCCCTGAAGCCTACCGGTGGAAGGGAAGCGATGAGATCCCCACGTGTCCTGGTGTGGCAGGTTCGAGAGGGGGTCCGGAGAGGGCCAATCAACTCAGAACCATACCACCAAGCAGAGCCAGAGCAGGAGTCAGAAGCTCAGGGCTAGGTTCAAGGATCGTCCACGTTCCTGTTCACCTCTCCTGGGTTTTGGCACCAAAAATGAAAAATCAGACAGAGGCCGAAAACCAGGACTACAGGCTTTATTAGAGGAGAAGAACCTGCCAGGCTGTCTCGAAAGGGGAGGACAGCAGCACGTGCAGGGGTGAGCACTCCTTTTGAGGGGCGGAATGGGAAGGGGTGGGGGCTTAGTGTACTAGGCGCACACTGATTGGTGGCTTACCTGTATGGTCCATAAAGGAACAAGGGTTTAGGGTATTTGGCAGGATTTCAAATGACGGACTGGGAAACAAAAGCATGGTGAAATGAGACTTTTAATAACACTCCTGAGAGTGGGTGTCCATTACAGTAAATGGGCTGGGGCCTTTTTTAGTTACCTCCCTTTGTCTATGGGAATTTTTCTAGGACCTGTGTTATCGGCTATATGTACTGCTCATATTCTCTTTTTCCCCACCCCCACACACTGTTTGCTCTGGGGAAATTCAGTAATTGCCTGGCCACCAACTGTTTATTTTCTATGAAGATAAATCAAAGGCATGCTTAATAGACTAACAATAAACAAATTAAACCAAACAACAAAGACAGATAAAACAACAATCAACAGACAAGCGTGCATAACACATAGACAAGACTTAATAAATCAGAGTTCTTTTCATGGATCTTTCAGATGTTTTAAAGTGTCTGGGACTTACAGCCAGAGTGCAGCCCAGAGGGCTCCCAGTGAACACCCACAAGCAGCCTATTGTTCACAGATTCCATCATATTCTGCTCTCCATAGCATTGACTGACGTCTAAAGTCATTTTAGCTAAAATCTGCCAGTCCCAAGGTGTCATATGATAATTTTCAGACAAAACATTAAGGAACCCTTTTGTAAAAGGACTTTTAGCCCCTTTTTCTCTAGTTGATGAGCCTTCCCACACTAGAGGCAGAGGATCGGGGGCCTTAGGTATTACAGGCTTTACAGGCTCTACTTTAGGAGGAGGAGGAGGGGGCGGTGGCAAATCCTCCTGGTGTTTTGTAGGCTTTTGATCCTCAATATGAAGTGGGCAATATACAGCTCGAACAAGAGCCCACATTGTTAAGATGACAAGGGCACTTGTTTTCCTTGAGCCTGATTTCTCCTTAAATTCCTACTTACTTGTTTCCAGAGATCAAGGTCTAATGTTCTAGCATCAGGGAACAAGGATTGTACTCTATGATAATATGCAAAAACTGTAAGAGAATACTTTCTGACACTTTAATTCCTTTATCCTTGAGCATGCAAGCTAAAAGTCTACAAAAATGTTTTTGCCTTTTCGAATTCTTCCCCATTATAACTTGGCTGATTTCAGAAACGTCCTGTCCACTTATGGTCTCGAATCCAAAACTGGCACGGGCTTTGTGTGCCGAAGAGTTTTCACTTTTCCTTTTTCACTTCGTTTTTCACTTAGGCGAATCTCCTCCCCAGGTCTCTGTTTCAGACGCCAGTTGCCGCGACCTACATGGCAAGGTTCAGGATCTGAAGCAGAGGCCAAGACACAAATGAAAATGCTATACAAGAGCCGTGCGCCAGGAGTGGAGCTGCCGGTAGCTGGGCCCCTGCGAGCCAGCCGGCAGTGATGTGACTCATGGTTCCCAGTACAAAGGAGAGACCACTTCTCCGCTGGGGCAGAGGCGAAGCCAGAGCCCCCAGCCCCATCGCGTCTCTGCGCTGCTCTCGTCTTCTGGAATGGACCTGCCTGCCAGGAAGCCAGGTCAGCCTTGGTAGCAGTGGCAGCGAGGCCGTGGCAGCGTTCCCAGCAGAGGATGCCCCAGGCCCTGGAGCGCGCCGAGGGCTGCTGGGCCTGGGTGGTCCTGCTGGCCGCCGTGGTGACCCAGGGCCTCACCCTGGGCTTCCCCACGTGCATCGGCATCTTCTTCACTGAGCTACAGCGGGAGTTCCAGGCCAACAACAGCGAGACCTCCTGGTTCCCCTCCATCCTGACGGCCATGCTCCACGCGGGGGGTAAGCAGCCTGAGGAGGGGCCAGGGAGGGGCACGAAGAGCCACAGCCTCGCTGGCCTCGCTGACCTCCTGCGTCCACTCTTGGAGGCCACAAGCTTTGCCTTTCGGGTGAATTCCTAAGATTTCACTGGATTTCAGCAGGGCCCGCTTGCTCCCTGGCTTGGAATCCCACTCCCCGGGCTGGAATCCCGCTGGGCGGGGCTGGGTGGGGCGGGACGGGGCTGGGAAAAGGCTGGGGTGGCACCTTAGATGCTAAGCCAGTCCTCTCAATGGCCACTGCGGGATGGATCCAGACTAGAGGAGGCGCGGCCTGGGGTCCAGCTGGGAGATCACCCTGAACCTTAGTTCCTTCCCCTGCAACATGGGGGTGACACCCGGCATCCTGCCCACCTCACACATGGGATCGTAGGGAGATCACGAGGGAGGGAAATGTCACCCGCTGTGAAAGCTTGTATCCTGGAGCTCTTCATCCGGGCTTCAGACAGGAAGGGGGCTCTTTGAAGACACCAGGAGCAGGATGGGGGCATTGCCAGAGCCCCATCTCTCACCAGGCAGCGAGGGGGAGTTGCAAGGGCTGGGAGATGGAGGAGGCAGCCCCCTCATTTCCTGGTGGGCTCCTCCAGGACTGTGACCACCTCACCCTGACCCCAGCCATCGGGGAAGGTCAGGAGCTGTCCAGGCAGTCTGCACAGCAGCCTCGGGCTCAGGGGCCTGCCCCAGCTTCTGGTTGCTGTGGCCTCCAGGGAGACTCTGCTGTGGCCTCCAGGGAGACTCCGCAGGGGCCTCCAGGGAGGCCTGGTCACCTGGAGCGGGGTCTGGTGGGGCTGCAGGGCTCGCCCTGCGTGAGGGTGTGGGGTGCTTGCCTAGCAGACCCCACCTCCCTGCCTACCTCCAGCCACTCCCTCCACCTGGCACCAGTAGCCTGCTTGTTCTTCCACTTCCTTCCCTCCAATCGGGAGGGAGGTCAGACTGCGAGGTGCCACCTTTGCAGGAATGACCCTGAACCTGTCACCCCGGGGCATGGGCTCAGGGCAAGGGGAAAAGGCCAGGCCGAGCCCAGACCGCATGACCTTTTCACTTGCGAGGTTGGTGCAGAAGTGGGCATCGCAGAGGGCTCCTTCCATGCATCCAGATGGGTCTGGGCCAGAGGCTGGGAGCCGGGCATCTAGTGGGACCCCCACTCCCCAGCCAGCTTTCGACTCACTGCCCCCTGGCAGGCTCTCCAGCATCTCAGTCGGCTTGGGACTCCTGTCTGTCTCGTCTGTCTGTCTCTCTCACACACACACCTTTAGCCCATGCTCAGAGATTGATAGACATTTTAAACTGGAAAGTATCGTTGATCCTCCCCCCCCGCTCCCACACATTTCAGAGATGAGGAAAGCAAGCAAGAGCAAAGTACAAGGCCTGCCCAAGGTTGCAGAGTGAGTTCTGGCTCCTGCCAGAGCCGCCCTGCCTCGCAGCGCCCCACCCCAGCACCCTCAGCTATCTCAGCTAAGCTGGCTCCCGGCCCAGGCCCACCCCCGACTCCATGACTCAGGGCTTTCCCCAATATCACCTTTCCCGAGACGGGTCAAAATGTGGTGGTGGGGAACCTGTGTGGGCCCGTGGTCATACCCACGGCAAAGCCTCGCCTCTCCCTCTACTGCTGCCTCTGCTTGATTATCTCTGAGGATGGGCTGCTCACTTCCCCTTTCACTCCCCAGCTCATACCGGCTACACGCACACACCCCCTCTTCACCCCAGATGCACACCCACAAACCTCGTGCGCACACCCACACTTTCCCCGAAACTCAGTTCCAGGTACTTGGGGGCAGGGCACTGGGCGAATGGGGCCTTGCAAGGTGCTGAGGAGCAGCTGGCCAGGACTGGCTTGTTTCTACTCCTCTGGGTCTGGGCTCGGAGAAAGCCGCTCAGGATGGGGGTGGGGTGGAGGAAAACAGGCCCCTCTCCAGCAGCAGCCACACATTGGGTGCCGGGCTCTGGTGGTGGCTGGAGGTGATGGGGGAGGGGAGAAGGTACCCCACCCAGTTTTCTCCAGAGGCCAGTGCAAAGGGGTGCAGAGTGGCCCAGGGCCCCAGCTGCTCACCCTAGACAGGTGGGAGGCTGGAGGGAGGGCTGTGGCCAGTTTTCTTGAGGATGGGGTAGGAGTAGGGACAGGGGTGCTCATTACGATTTAGATACCTGGGGTCCCCCCCAACCCCCTGAGACAGACCCCCCCAGTGAAGAGCGCACCTCGGCCATGAGCCAGTCCTGTTTCTTGTCTGGGTCAAACTGGACATTGGCAGCACCTCACCTCACACCTGGTCACCCCTCCCCCAGCCTGATCCCACATTCTGTAGGAGGGGAAACTGAGGTAGAGAGAGAGAGAGCCTTGCTGGGGTCCCATGGCCAGTCTGGTAGGGTGGGCATCAGGGTCCAGGACTGCGGGCTCCAGGGCTTATGCCCTTTAAGCCTCCTGGCTAGTTCCTGTTGGAACCCCTTCCCGGCCTCCCCGTCCCCCTCCCTCTGGGACTCCTCAGCTGCTGGCTGGCTTCTCATCCCTGCCCCCCCTGCCTCCACCCACAGGACCCCTGTGCAGCATCCTGGTGGGACGCTTCGGCTGCCGAGCCACCGTGATGGTGGGGGGCGTGCTGGCCAGCCTGGGCATGGTGGCCAGCTCCTTCTGCCGCACCCTCGGCCAGCTCTACCTCACAGCAGGCTTCTTCACAGGTGATTGCCATTCCGTTTGGAGAACTACTGGGCGCCTATTAAACAGTGTCACATGCAAGTGAACAGGGCAGGCAAAGCTCGTCGCTGGGGCTGCTCACAGGAGGGAGCCCACAAAGGGGAGAGGCCAGGGACAGATAAACGAGGAGCATATCTGATCGCGACAAGACAAGTGCGTGAGAAGACAGGACAGCGATGTGACAGCGTCCGGGCCGAGGGTGGTGGTGAGCAGAGATTAAACAAGGAAACATGTAGAATGTCAAGAACGCCCAGGGTCGAAGGGAGGCTGCTGTTTGCAACAAGCAAGCGGAGGAGGCCTTGAGAGGAAGGGGTGGCTGGGCAGAGAGCTGAAGAAGGGAGTCGGCCCCTAGGTTCTGGGGGGAAGGGCATTCCAGGCTGAGGGGACAGCAAGTGCAAAGGCCCTGGGGTGCCCAGGGGCAGTGCAGTGGCCAGTTGAGTAGAGGGGCATGAACAAGGGGTGGAGGCTGGATGGGGGTTCGGTCGTAGTGAAATGGGAAGTCATGTGAGGGGTTCGGGCGGCCGGGTAAGTGACATTCATCTGACCACTGTTTGCAAAGCCCCTGCCAGCTGGCCGGGGTGTTCAGAAAACACCGCAGGAGGCCACGCACGTGCAGTGCAGGGAAGAGTTAAGGGTGACCCAAGAGCAGGAAGGCTGACCCCAGGCCTCTCTGCCCTGAGCTGCTGGAAGAATGAAGCAGCCACTAACCACCCTGGGAAACAAGGGGAGTGAGGGGGGGCGGTTTGCAGGAAGACGGGGAGCTCAGATGTGGGACAGGCCCCGAGCTGAGCGAGCTGTTGGGACATTCTGAGATGGCTGGTATTCAAGTCTTGAGCTGAGATGTCGTCCTGCTGTTCACGAAGGGAGAGGGAGGACTGAGCCCAGGGCGCTCCCGTGTGTAGTGGTCCAGACGGGAAGAAGTGACAGAGAAGTGGGAGAACCCAGAGGGTGGGGTTTCTTGAGAGAAAGAATGAAGGACGTTCGAGAGGAAGAGGGAGGGGTTCAGTGTGCCAAGCGGCTGCCGGGTCAGATCGAGTGGGGCCCAGGCTCTCTGGATTTGGCAATGGAGAGGTTGGTGACCTCGGCGAGAGCCATTCTGGAGCAGAGGTGGGGGTGAAAGTCTGACGGGAACAGTTTCAACAGAGCACAGGAGGAGGGCAATGGGAGATGGCTGAGCTGATCGAACCTTGCACGAAATTTCGGCGGAAGGGGAGCAGAGAAATGGGCGGGGACCCAGAAGAGGCTGTGGGGTCAAGGGAGGGTTGTGTTTTGTTTTTAATGAGAGAAATAACAATGAAGGAGAATGGTCTAGAAAAGAGGAGAAAAACGGATGATGCAGGAGAGAGGGACATTGCTGGCGGGCTATGCCTCTGAGTGGACAAGATGCAGGGCGGAAGGAAAGGGCTGGCCTTGACTGGGAGCACAGACGGTCCACTGTCACTGGCGGGAAGGCGAGGCGGCTGTCAGCTGGGAGCGAGGAGGGGTGAGGTGTGGAGTATGAAGAGGAAGAAAGCCCGGGCGTCATCCAGGAGGAGGGAGAGCAGATGGACGACAGATCTGGCCACCCAGGCAGGGCCCGCCTGAGGCCAGTGGTCCTGGGCGGCTGTGAGCTTTCTCTCCAGAACGTCCAGCTGTGCGGGGGGCAGGCGCAGAGTAGGTGGGGAGGCGGCTTCTGAGCCGAGTCAGGAAAGGGAAGTCGGGGGAAGAGTGTTCCAGGCAGAGGGAACCACAACGGCCATGTCCTGAGGGAGGGAGCAGCGTGGTGTCCCGAGGAAGAGAAAAAAGCTGATGTGGCTGCCTCCTGGTGAGTGACGGGGAGCGTGGCCTGAGATGGCACCCAAGAGGTGGCGGGAGCCAGATGGTACAGAGCCTTCCGGGGCACAGTAAATACTTGGCTTTTCCCCTCGATGTGATGGGAAGTCTCTGGAAGGTGTTAAGCAGGGGAGAGACTTACTTTGATTTTAAGTTGTTGTTGTTTTAAAAAATACATATTTTTTGTTTTTTTGGTGTGTTTTTTTTTAGAGAGAGTGGAAGAGAGAGGGAAAGACGGAGAGAAACATCGACGTGAGAAAAGCACGTTGATTGGTTGCCTCCTGCATGTGCTTTGACCAGGGCCTGGCTAGGGCTAAAATATATATTTTTATTGATTTCAGAGAGGAAGGGAGAGGGAGAGAGAGATAGACACATCAATGATGAGAATCATCGATTGGCTGCCCCCTGCACTCTCCACACTGGGGACCAAGCCCGAAACCCAGTCGTGGGCCCTGACGGGGAATTGAACCATGTCCTCCTGGTTCATAGGTCAACGCTCACTGAGCCACGGCAACCGGGCTGATGTTAAGTTTTTAAGGATCACCTGGGTACTGTGCCAAGGGGACAGGTGTGCCCCTGGCAGCCTTGGGAGGGCAGATCTGAGGGGCGGATGTTTCTTGGGAGGAGAGCAGGCAGGCTGACTCCATCTTAAATCCCTGGGGACCTGGAGGTGGGTTTGGGCTGGAAGGGAAGGAGAGCAGATGTGGGACATGACCCTGTGACCCGCTGTGGGAGGCCCCAGAACGCCCTCGAGCTGGTCTCCCCTCTTCCACCACAGGCCTGGGCTTGTGCTTCGGTTTCCAGTCGACCATCACCGTATTGGGCTTCTATTTCACCCGCCGGCGGGCGCTGGCCAACGCTGTGGCTTCGGTGGGCGTCTCCCTGGGCATCACACTCTGGCCGCTGCTGGCCCGCCACCTCCTGGAGGAACTGGGCTGGAGGGGCACCTTCCTGGTCTTCGGTGGGGTTTTCCTCCACTGCTGCATCTGCGGGGCCATCCTGAGGCCCATGGCCCCCAGCATGGCCCCTGCACCCAGAGAAGGCCCTTCTGTGCCCTCCAAGACACCGGCGCCCGGCTGCCTGGCCGCATGTGGCCGGGCCATCCTGCGCCACCTGGCCTTCGACATCCTGTGGCACAACGCTGGCTACCGCGTGTTCACGCTGGGCGTCACGTGGATGATCCTCGGTTTCCCGCTGCCACAAGTCTTCCTGGTGCCATTCGCCATGCAGCACGGGGTCGACGAGCACAAGGCTGCCCTGCTCATCTCCATCATCGGCTTTAGCAACATCTTCCTGCGGCCCATGGCCGGGCTGGTGGCCGGCCGCCAGAACTTCGCCAGATATCGCAAGTACCTCTTCAGCCTCGCAGTTCTGCTCAACGGGCTCACCAACCTGGTGTGCGCGGTGTCGGCCAACTTCCGAGTGCTGGTGGTCTACTGCCTGGTGTACAGCGTGTCCATGAGCGTGGTTGGCGCCCTCTTCTTCCAGGTCCTCATGGACGTGGTCCCCATGGATCGGTTCTCCAGGGCCCTGGGCCTCTGCACTATCCTGGAGAGCTTCTCCATCCTCATCTCCCCGCCAATGGCTGGTGAGGCCCAAGAGGGAGGGCGTGGCCTGGGAGGGCAGGGTTAGGGGGTGAGGCGGAGGGAACAGTCTGGACAGATTTGGTGCCCGTCCAGCATCCCAGGGGGAGGGACTTGGAATCTGTGATTTTCCCCAAGCACCTCATGGGACTGGCTGCAGCCTGTTCCCCAGCTGGCACTCAACCTGAAGAGTTAAAAATGGGCGTTTGGGTACCACACTTAGCTGAGTCTGTCATCTTCCTCTCTGCACCTGTTTTCTTATCAACAAAGTGAGGATGAGAATAGAATCTACCTGGTAGGCTTGTTGTGAGGGTCACAAGTTATACCGTTAAGCTCTTAGTAGAGAAGATGGCAGAGTAAGTACTATGCACGGATCGGCTGTTATTGACATCCTGGTGCTGCCACTTCCTGCCCGTGGGACCGACCCCGCACCTCAATGACCTTCTCTGAGCCACAGTGTTATCTGCAAAATGCAGAAAAGGACACCTGCCGTCACCAAGGATTGGCCTGTGCCTGTCACGGTGCCCACGGCTGGAGGCAGAGACTTCCCTCTGGCGGGGGAGAGAGACGGCAATCAAAGCGAAGAGACGTGTTTGGGGGCCTAGGGGCGATTTGTGCCGGGAGGGAAACGTGCAGGTATAGAAACAGAGCCCCACACGAGAGGTGTGACATGCAGAGCAAAAGGGAAGGTCTGTGAAGCCTTTGGTGCCGGGGGACAGTCACACAGACAACGCGTGGCTGCCGTCGTTACAGTTAGATGACGGGGACTCTTGCCCCGAGTGTGGAGTGGGAAGGCCCAGTTTCCACAGGATCCCCCCACCCCACACGCCAGCAAGTGCAGAGAGCTTGCTGGGAGAGGCCTGGGGGGCCCAGGGCGTGGCCGAGCCGATCCCCGATATCCCGACTCCACTGGCCCTTGTCTCATAGCTCCCTGCCCCCCGGGTGAGCGAGACATGCCCTTAAGTGCTCTTTGGCCCGAGGACTCTTCCTGCCTGGGCCAGAGGAGGTTTAGTGTTTCCTCTCCCCCTCACCTTTACCAACTATTTACTGTGTGCCTAGTAGGTGCCAGCCCCAGTTCCTAGTCCTGGGGTTCGACAGAGACAAAACTAAAAGCCCTGCTCTTGCGGAGCGCACAGGGCAGTGGGGGGCTGGCAGCCCTGGGCCGTGGCCTAACTTGCTCTCTGTCCTTCAGGGTTTGTCCTGGACAACACTGACAGCAACTTCAGCTATGTTTTCTACATGTCAAGCTTCTTCCTCATCTCTGCTGCCCTCTTCATGGGTGGCAGCTTCTGTGCGCTTCAGAAGAAGGAGAGGCAGGGCAGGCCGGCCGAGGCGGAAGCAGCCGTCCCGGAGTCGGCCCCGCTGCGGACCCTCGGCAGGGAGGACACAGGCAGTCCGGAGAAGCGGCCGTGCACCGAAGAAATCATGTATGTGACCAGCGTCTGAGCCCCAGGATCACATGTGTGACCGGCATCTGAGCCCCGAGGTCAGTGAGCGAACACTGCCTCCGCCCAGGAACGCGATGTCCTGCTGTTTCACCGGGTGAAGCCTGAACCAAAGGGCTGGCCGCCCCGCCCCGCACGTCGGGACTCAGCCAGGGGCTGGGGCCTTGGAGGCTGGCCTCCGAAGACTCAGGGTTCCTTCCGACGAGCAGAATCCAGGAGCCGGTCCTCCTGACTTTTTTCCTTGGGCACCAGGGTACTTGGGGCCCAAGAAGGTGGGTCTGAGCTCTGCTTGGGTCTCTCATGGCCGACGGGGCTCAGCTGGCTGCCCACTGCCGCTGCTACAACTCAACACGCAGGGCCTTCAGGTCCAGCCTGGATGCTTCTGAGGTGGCCTCTCTGTCCTTCTCCAGCTCCAGACAGTTCCAAAGAGCTCACCCTAAGTCCCCCTAAGCCCTCCTGCCCCCCTTCCTCCCTGTGGCCCAGCCCTTGCCCTCGGGGCTGCCCCCAGCACGGGTTGCTGGGCCTCCCACTGATTGGGACTTGGGAAGAAGGGCCTTGGGAGAGAATCGGTGGTGGCCTGCAGCCGTGGGTGGCCAAGCTGCGGATGAGCCTGGATGCCGGGTTCGGACAGATTCAATGCTGGTGGAGCCCCTGTCCTGGCGTCTGTGCAGAGAATCGGAGGGGAGCACCTGACTTGGGTCCTTGAATCAGTGAAGTCTGAGGAACCCCTTACACCAGCGGTTCTCAACCTGTGGGTCGCCACCCCTTTGGGGGTCGAACGGCCCTTTCACAGGGGTCACCTAAGACCTTCGGAAAACACATATATAATTACATATTGTTTTTGTGATTAATCACTATGATTTCATTATGTTCAATTTGTAACAATGAAATTGGGGGTCACCACAACATGAGGAACTGTATTAAAGGGTGGCGGCACTAGGAAGGTTGAGAACCACTGCCCTACACAGTCAGCAGAGCCGGCTCCAGGGTCTCATTTCTTTGCCCCACCCAGTATTGTGACCGGGAAGATTAGTGCTGGGGTTGGGTGGGGGACGCCAGACAGTTGACTGAGCAGGGAGGGTCGTATTGCTAGGCAGGGCCCAAGGGCCTCTGTGGAAATAGAGCTGCCCTCGCAACAGAAACCCTTCTGCTCCCCTCTCCCGCCCTCCTCGTCTCCCTGCTGTGTCAGAGGCGTCAGCCCTGGGTGAGTAGCTGGCTGGGCCAGCTGCCAGTCCCCCCTGCTCCCCATGGGCCTGTGTCTGTGGTCTGGAGGTCAGAGCTCTCCCCACACACCCTTTGCTGGTGCCCTTCCTTGAGGTCATCACCGTGGGGGGCAGGCTGTCATTAGCGCAGTCTTGTCCCAGCAGGGTCCCGACCGAGGGAACCAGGGAACCGAGAAAGTTTGTTTGAATTACACACAGAAGTGTTTCCTGCAGCAGGCTATAAACCCCGGGAACTAATGAAGCAGGAAAACAGCCCTGGAGAAGTCCTCCTCCCCCTTCAGTCCTCCCAGCTTAGCAGGGGCTGCTCACGCCCAGGGCCTTGTTTGTTGATTCAGGCTCAACCAGGCTCCAACAGAAAACCTTATCAGGAGGATTGATTTTATTTTCATGATCCGCCTCTAGCCTTCCTCCTCCACTTGTCCAGCCGGCCTGAGTAAGCATCCTTGGGGTTGTCCTGTCCTCTCCAGGACCCTGCCACGAGTGCCCCCTTATGGCCAAAGAAAGTAGTGCAGAGGCGACAAAAAGGCTAGGATAGTAGAGACCCGAGTTCGTGTTTGACTCTGCCTCAATTTCCTGTGTGCCTTTGGGCAAATTGCTCAGCATCTCTGGGCTTTTAAAAAGGAGGAGGCTGGCCTGGATAAGTTAAAGTCTCTTCCAGTTTGAAAAGTCGAATCCTGAAGAGCCCCACTACCTGCCTGCTCCCCACCCCGCCACCACCCACAGTTTGTGAACGGAAGGGGGAAGGCCTGGGCACATTTTACCAAGTCCTATCTCCTCCATCTTCATGGAGTGGAAAAGGAGGGAGTCGGGTTGGTGAGTAGGTAAATGGTTTTGGTGCTAGTAGCTCCCAGGCTTTGAAACGTGCCTCCCCTAATAGGCCCACTTCCTTAAAAGATTTCTTTTAAGGAAAAAAAGATTATCAGTGAACATTCAGCACAAAGAACTCTGACTTCATCTGCCCCGGGCAACAGTAACCATAATCACCAGGCAAATATTTATTAAGCATCTACTGTGTGCCTGGGACTGGACAGATAACCAGTAAGAACTGGTGAATGCCCTCAACACAAAACCAAGGGCTGAGAATATTCCCCAAGGAGGGAGGGCCCCTGAGGTCTTGGGAGGAAACAAAGGAGGGAGGATGGGTGGCCCATCTGATTCCAGAACCACACTTAGCTGGTCTGGGGCAGTTCCCGAGTAGCACAGGGTGGAGCTCGTTTCCATGGTGTCCACAAGCCTTTGCTGCTCTGTCCGGCCAGAGGCAGAGAAACCCCCTGGCCACCTTTGGCTGAGTGAACATCCCCAGGTCGCATCTGGTCCCCAAAGAAGCAGCCTCAATATCCAAGCACCCAGACTATGGCCATAACTGCAGGCCCAGGGCAGGGGGTAGGGGATGGGGGGGTGCGGGGTGGGATGGTGCATCAGGCAAAGGCTGACCACAGGGACCTGAGCCCGTGGGCCTGCTCCCAATGGGGCTGTAGCAGGTGGAGTATGGCCCAGGGCCAAAGGCACATGGTCCTTGCCCTCAAGAAGCTCACAGCCCAGGCCCCCTTTACCTTCACATTCAAGCAACGTGGGAGTGCGGTAGGACCACCTCCCAACCTGGTGCTTTATAAACCCAGTGCCTATGAGGTCCCGGTCACACACCACCTTCCTGAGAAGCTCCAAGAAATCATCGGGCCGAAGGGCTTCACCACCAGGGCAGCTCCCCAACCCAGAAAGCGGCCAACACCGTACATTTGGGTGGACAGAGGTTCCTACCACCGGTTGGCGCTGCCCCAGCGCTCCCCGTCCACCTGGTGGGCAAACAGCCTTACCCGGTCCCCGATATTTCAGACCAGAGGTGGAGGGCTCAGCTCGGGGCTGGGGAGCATGGGGTGCCAGGCTCGAGCGCGGCTTCTTGGAAAAGGGCCCGTGGGAGGGGGGGACTCAGGGAGCTGGCGCCCACGCTCCAGTGGGGCGTCCTTTGGTCGAGGAGGCTGGCCTGTGCCCTCTCATCAGATGCAAGGGGATCTAGCGGTGGTTCTGCCTCGACAGCCGGCCAACTCTGGGCTCCTAAGGGCCCTAGAGATGTTGTTCCAGCGGTTCTCAACCTGTGGGTCGCCACTCCTTTGGGGGTTGGACGACCCTTTCACGGGGGTCGCCTAAAACCATCGGAAAACACATATTGAATATATAATTGCATATTGTTTTTGTGATTAATCACTATGCTTTCATTATGTTCAATTTGTAACAATGAAAATACATCCTGCATATCAGATATTTACATGACGATTCATAACAGTAGCAAAATTACAGTTATGAAGTAGCAACGAAAATAATTTTATGGTTGGGAGTCACCACAACATGAGGAACTGCATTAAAGGGTCGCGGCATTAGGAAGGTTGAGAACCACTGTGTTGTCCCCTTAAGCATCCACAGACCTTCGCCTTGGGCCCAGGCAGTGAGGCGTGACGTCTACTGCGCACGTGCGCCGAGCTCCACGACGGCCCCGCCCCTGGTCCGCCTGGGACAACCCCGCCCCGCCCTCTGGGGCGGAGCTAAGCACGGCTTCCGCCGGAAGTCCGGGCTCCAGCGGGAAACCGTACCCAGCCGCTCGGGGCTGGGTGATGCAGTTCCCTCCTCCGGTGCCCTGTCGCTTCCGTGTCTTCCGCGCCCCAGTTTAGATTTTCACGCCCAACTCTTCCACAGTCCTGATCACACCACATCCCAGTGCCAGGTGCAAATCACTGCCCAGCCCGAAGCTAGGAGAGGAGCCTGTGTCCTGCCCGGGCCCGCCCTCGCCCGGGGAGGCCCAGGGAGTTCCCCCCCGCCTTTCCGGCCTCATCGGCCGCACTCTCCTGCCTGTCCCCCGTGCACCCTTCGCCACCCCGGCCATGGCGCAGAAGCCGAAGGTAGACCCCCATGTCGGACGGCTGGGATACCTGCAGGCGCTGGTCACGGAATTCCAGGAGACGGAGAGCCAAGGTGAGAGCGACGGGATGGGGGTCCGGGGACAGGGCGGGGGTCCGCCCGCGCCCCTCGCCCCGGACCTGGCTCCAGTGCCGCTTTTCCGCTGCAGACGCCAAGGAGCAAGTCCTGGCCAACCTCGCCAACTTCGCCTATGACCCCGGCAACTACCAGTATCTGCGACAGCTGCAGGTCCTGGATCTGTTCCTCGATTCGCTGTCGGAGGAGAACGAGACCCTGGTGGAGTTTGCTATTGGTAAGGATGGGGCGGCCACGGATGCCTGATGGTGAGATAAGCGAGTCCGAAGTGAGTCGTTGGGAAGAGACCTCGGGCAGTCCCTCACCGCAATGGCAGCCTTCGGGGCGCACGCACGGTCCTGGTCACAGCGAGCGCGACCCTCTGCATGCTGCCTTCCCACCTGCTTAGAGATGAGATCATAAATGAAGGGATGGATTGAAGCCACTCGGAGAGAAAAATATTTAGAGTGCTCTTTTAAACATCTTTATTTTAATGTTTTCCTATCAAGGAAAGTAGGGATGACTTACGATGACTTATGGTCTAAGGCAGTGGTTCTCAACCTTCCTAATGCCGCGACCCTTTAATACAGTTCCTCATGTTATGGTGACCCCCAACCATAAAATTATTTTCGTTGCTACTTCATAACTGTAATTTTGCTACTGTTAGGAATCGTCATGTAAATATCTGATATGCAGGATGTATTTTCATTGTTACAAATTGAACATAATTAAAGCATAGTGATTAATCACAAAAACAATATGTAATTATATATGTGTTTTCCGATGGTCTTAGGCGACCCCTGTGAAAGGGTCATTTGACCCCCAAAGTGGTGGCGACCCACAGGTTGAGAACCGCTGGTCTAAGATCTATTGAATTATTCACTGGACAGATAATTATGGGGCATGAACTGTGTGAGCAAGGTCCTGTCCTAAGTGCTGAAGAGATGGCGAACAAGTCGGGGGAAAGGCCTTTGCCCGCAGGGAGAGGGGGAGGCAGATGGTGGACAAACCAACCAAAAGGCTGAGGCTCTGAAGGACATTCACAGGATGATAAGACAGGGCATAGGAGATGGGGCGGCCCCACTTCGGCCATCATGGGCAGGCGGACGTGATGGGTGGGACACCCTGAAGCAGGAGGATCCAGAGGAAGGCTGATGTGTCAGGAATGTGGCGAGTGGAGCGGAGAGCGGGACAAAGTGAGGTTACAGAGGTGGCAGCACCAGAGACGGCTGGGAGGGGCTTAGATCTACGCTGCAGGAAAGAGTTCGGAATTTATTCTGAAGGCAAACAAATTATTTTTTCAGCTGCATCTCTAAAAAAATAACATTTTTTGCCCTTGCTGGTTTGGCTCAGTAGATAGAGCTTCAGCCTGCAGACTGCAGGGTCCTGGGTTTGATTACACTCAAGGGCACATCCCCATTAATTTCCTGTAACCTAGAAATTAGATTGAAAGCCTTGATAGAATCAAGTAACACTCCCCCCCCGCCCCCCCCGAAATTAGATTGAAAGCCTTGATAGAATCAAGTAACACCCCCCCACACACACACACACACTCCGCCGAATACATCATAGGTGAGTGTGATTGAAAATTTTGAAAGACCACCCATGTCTGCCCCTGATGTTTGTGGTATTGTGGCTAGAGTCCAAATGGGAGTCACCCCTGATCTTCTCACCACGACAGGTCTTCACACACGTGTGTGGACACCCCAATTCTGTTCACACACCCCCACACACCTGCCTGTGGCCTCTCCTCGGACTTAGTGTGCACACCAACCGTGGGGTTCACCCTCGGAGTCAGGAATCCAGGAAAGGCCCATGCGCTGTGGGAGGAGGTTCAGGGCCTGGTGTGGGGAAGGGAGGACTCTGGGTAGGTTCCCTGGAGTTTTTAGCCTGTGGAGCGGGCCAGAGTGTGTCCTGCTAGAGCTGAGCCAGGGGCAGGAGCCCCAGTGGCCCATGTCTAAGAGAGTGGTGCTAGTGTATGTCTCTGCCCCTCTGGAAGATTATTACGCTAAATAAATATCCGTAGTACTGAGCTCTCTGTACCGGTGATGAAACAGCACCTCAGTGAGGTGAGTCCCATTGCCTGAGGCTCACACTGAGCACTAACTGGAGCCAAATTCTGTGCCCAGGGGACCCGGCTGCCGGAGCCAATGCCGGAGTCCATTGTGTCTTCTCCCCTGGTTCCCATGGCACCTGGCCACCTCCAGCATATCCCTGGGATGGTTCTGGTGGCAAGTCGTCCCTGGCCCAGGTTTTAAGTGGAACTATCACCAGGAGATGGTACTGCTCAAGGTAGGACAGGGCGTGGGAAGTGAGTGAATTATGGGGAACCAGATATAAAGCCAGGATCTCAGCAAATACTTGAATGAGTATTCCGAGCTTGTGCCCCACATAAAAACTCTGGCAGCCTTTGGCGTTAATTTGGAAATGTTTGCCCAAAGCACCATGGGTTGACTCTCAGGCATCCTGTATGCTGCGTGTGCACACCTGCACCATCTTAGATGCCGTATGGAGGCATAAAGGGACCAGGAGAGAATCCTCTACTTCTGTGAAAACTGGTTGAATACTAGGACATCACAGAATACTTGACAGTCTGGTTACGAAAACAGGGTTCAAATAGGTTGCCTCCCAGAATTCAGGTTAAATCTCTTTCCTGTGCTCTATTTCCTGTAATACACGTAGCTGCCACTAGATGGTGGTGGTGCTGCTCAGTAAAAGGCAGGTATAGATAAGTCCTCAGGGGCCTCTCTGGAAAACAGTATTTAGTAAAATTGAAGCTAGGTTACCCCATGACCCAGCAGTTACAGTCATCGGATTAGGGCACATGCATATCCAGACACGTGTGCAAAAATGGCACTAGCACACTTGTAACAGACAAACTAGAAACAGTAAACAGTAGGATGGATACCAACATTGTGGGATGTTGCTACTATTTAGCAAGGTAAATGAACAGTCAACTACATGCAATAATGTTATAATTTAAAAAAATTTTTTTTTAAAATTATTTATGTTGCTACTATTTAGCAAGGTAAATGAACAGTCAACAACTACATGCAATAATGTTATAAATTTTTTTAAAATTTAAAAAAATTATTTTTTGTTAATCCTTACTCGAGGATATTTTGTCATTGATTTTTAAAGAGAGTGGAAGGGAGAGGGAGAGACAAAGAGAAACATCCATGTGAGAGAGACCCATCGATTGGTTGCCTCCAGCACACACCCTGCTCAGGGCCAGGGATCGAGCCTGCAACCCTGATATGTGCCCTTGACCACAATCGAACCCGGGACCCTTCAGTCTGTGGGTATCGATGCTCTATCCACTGAGCCAAACGGGCTAGGGCAATAATGTTATAACTGTAACGGTAAGCAAATGGTGCTAGACACAATACTACATACAGTGTGATTCCATTTCTATAAAGTCCCCCAAACAGGCAGAAATGGGCAATAGAAGAGAAACATCCATGTGAGAGAGACCCATCGATTGGTTGCCTCCAGCACACACCCTGCTCAGGGCCAGGGATCGAGCCTGCAACCCTGATATGTGCCCTTGACCACAATCGAACCCGGGACCCTTCAGTCTGTGGGTATCGATGCTCTATCCACTGAGCCAAACGGGCTAGGGCAATAATGTTATAACTGTAACGGTAAGCAAATGGTGCTAGACACAATAATACGTACAGTGTGATTCCGTTTCTATAAAGTCCCCAAAACAGGCAGAAATGTTTAGGGATGTGTGGAAGAGACAGGAATGGAGGGAGACTTCTTTAAAAACCCTATATTTTAGGTTAAAAAGATAAAAGGTCTGCTTAGTAAAAATTATGTCATTAAATTATTACAAACCAGGAAGGTGTTTACCACAGAGAGCGAATTGGTTCAGGAAGGGACACAGGCTCCGGATTGCTGACAGTGTTCTTGTTCTTGACCTGGGGGCTGGTTCCACAGGCATTTGCTTTATCATTGCCAAACTGACCTGTGTGTGTCAGCCCTTTGCTGTGTGTGTGGTTTGCAGGTATGGCCCTGTGCCAGCCTCTGGGGCTGTGAACAGGTGCCTTGTTGATCCACATCTGTGTACCAGGGAGGGGCCTCAATCGCATTATTTCATTCTCTCTGCCCATTTTACTGATGAAGAAACCAAGGCTTAGAGAAATTGAGTTGCTTGCTCTGGTCCCTAAATCCTCAGTGGCAGAACTGGTTCTAACTGGGTCTGCCCACCACGGAGCCCTTGCTCCGTCCTCATCCTCTGGGCTCCCCGTACATCCTTCTCCCACTGATCAGTCAGGCTCCTGCGGTCCTGCAGCTTCTGCTTGAGAAGTTCCTCAGCCATCCACCAGTGGCAGTTCCCCTTACAGGATGGAGGTGGTGGTGAGGTTCTCACCCACTGCTCCCTTCCTCGCTGGCCCCAGGCTGGCCTCATGGGGACAAGGGCAGCCTCCACCATCTTTCCTGACTTACAGAGAGCCAATTCCCCATCTCTTAGTTCTAGGCACAAGGAGTGTGTGAGTGTGTGAGAGAGAGCACATGTGCGTGCGCGTATACGTGTGTGTTTGAGTGTTACTAATTTATGTGAATGCATAATTGATTCACATGGTACAAAATTTAAAAGGTATTGAAAGGTAACTCCCTCGCTAGCCTTCTCTGTAGCTCACCACTGTTACTAGTTTCTTAAATATTTTTTGGAATTTACAAACATGTTTATATCTATATGAATATATTTTTGCATGTTCTGCACAGGTGGTAGTATACTATATCTGTATTCTGCTTGCCTTTTTTTTTTTTTTTAACTTAGCAACATATCTAGACACACCTGCAGTGTCAGTCATTCTGTAAAGGGGCGTGGTGTTTATTCCCTGGCATGGAGGCACTGAGGCTTAGCCACGCTTAGGGATGGGTGTTTAGCTTGCTTTCCATTTTGCCAACACAATTAGTGTTTCAGTAGATACCTTATTGGAGTTTCATTTCTTACTTGTGGGTCTATATCTGTAGGATAAATGTCTTGAAATGAAATTCATCAGTTTAAGTCAAAACTCTATTACAGGGTTTTAAAGAAGTCTCCCTCCATTCCCGTCTCTTCCACAGCCCTCTCCTCATGAAGAACCAGCAACTGTGAGCATCTATATTATAAAAGGCCTGTGGCCCTAACACCATAACGGCCAAAGACCGGCGTGGGTGGGTGGGGCTGCGCGATGGGCTTCTAGTATACGTATATTTGTCCCCCACGCCTCCCTTCTTCTACATAATGGTAGCTTTTTTAATACACTGTTCTGTCCCCCAAATTTGAAATTTCAGAAAGAACCATTTTCAAGATGCTAAAGTAAAACCCAAGAACAAATAGTCCCAAGAACAAATAGTCCCAAGAACAAATGAAGATTTTTGACTTGGGATGGACTGTGGCCAGCCCAGGGTAGGCGGGTCCTCAGAGGTAGTAATGTCTTGGGCCATCTCTCCAAGGCCCCGCCTCGCCTCCAGGCACCAGGTGCTGGTTAAGCATGTGTCACCATGACCTCATTTAATCCCCAGGACAATCCTGGCTCTCCCAGCAGCAGGCCCTACTTGCTGTGTGACCCACAGTCACCTACCTGACCTCTGAGAGCCTCCAGCTTTCTCATCCCGGGCTGCATTTGGGGGTTTCTCTTTTGCCTCTCCCAGGGGTTTCTGTGGTTCCCTGTGTCTAGAAGGGCCCTTCTTTTGCCTCTTGTCTTCTTTTCTTTTTCTCTCCTGTCTGGTTTGTCCAAAACGTCCACCAGCCAGTTGAGACTTGTTCTTGTTTTTGCTTGGTAACCATTTTTAAATTGCAGCCTGGTGAACATACAGTACAATGCATATACCTTAAGTACAGTGGATGTACGTCAATGTAACCAGCCCTGACCAGGTTTTAGAAAGGTCCCTCGTGCCCCCTCCCAGTTAGTGTCTCCCACCCCAAGGTAACCACTAACCTAACCTCGATCCCCATGGATTACTTTAGCCTATTCTTGAACTTCATATTAGTGGGATCATGCAGATGTATACTCTTTAAAAAAAGTTATTATTATTATTTTTTACTGATTTTAGAGAGAGGGGAAGGAAGAGGGAAAGAGAGGGGAAGGGAGAGGGAGAGAGAGAGAGAAACATCAATGATGAGGGAGAAGCATCAATCGGTTGCCTCCTGCACACCCCCTACTGAGGATGGAGCCTGCAGCCCCTGTCATATGCCCTGACCCGGAATCAATCCGGTGACTCTTGGTTCATGGGTCAATGCTCAACCACTGAGCCACTCAGGCCAGTCAGGATGTGTACTCGTGTCTAGTTTCTTTCACTCAACGATGTATGGACCTAAGAAACATCCAAACCTGTAGGGAATTTTTATATTTGAGTCAAACTGACAATTGCTGAGAAGCAAAATCTCAATGGACTGAGAAAATGATCCAGAGAATGACAGTTTTACAGCTTATTTTATACATTAGAATCAAAGGAGGAGATGTAAGGGGCGGTTACCTGAAATTCATTGGTGGTGGATTGGGAGGCGGGTTTTACAGCTTATTTTATACATTAGAATCAAAGGAGGAGATGTAAGGGGCGGTTACATGAAATTCATTGGTGGTGGATTAGGGAGGCGGGAGAAAGCCAAGTGGGGAATCTCTGAGAGTGATAAAGAATAAAACAGGGGGACACTTCTTTACATTGTAAACATTTACAGCACATAGAGGTAGTGTGTGGGCAACAGGTAACAATGAAGGGTTCTGTCGTCCTTGCTCTGGTGCTGCAAAAAATTACAGGAAAAGGTGGTATGTTATCTCACATGCAAAAAGACAGCAGGCAGGCTCACTTAAGATGAAGACTGACCTTTGTCAAGGAAGCTCTAGGCCTAGGCTGTGACTGCCCGCCATGACCCACTTTTCGTTAGGAATTTTTATGTTCAGATCATCCTGTGGTTCCTCTCCATCTCTGCGTCTGAGGGCCCCCTTTTCTTCCACAAATGTTGTTGACATTCATCCCAATTGTTATGGTATTTTTTTTTTAATCCTCACCTAAGGATATATTTTACTGTTTTTAGAGAGACGGGGAGGTGGGGAGAGGGAGAGAGAAACATCATCAGTTGCCTCCGTATGAGCTCCCACCAGGGATAGAACCCACATTCTAGGTATGTGGCCTCACTGGGAATCGAACCCGCAACCTTTTGGTGAACGGGACAACGCTCTAACCAACCACCCGGCCAGGGCTAGTTTGTGTTTCTGAATGAATGTGCCCGATGTGTTCATCCATTCACCTGTTGTTGGAGATTTGAGTTGTTTCTAGTTTGGAGCCTTTATAAAAGAGCCTCCCCCCGTGTTTGGACCCAGGCACTTGTGAGCTCTGGCAGGTACCTGATCCATCCGTAGAGGCTCCCTGGCCTGCAACTGGGGCACAGGGCACAGGTGGGGCCTGCTCTCCTGAGGCCTCCTGCCCCCACCCTGCAGGGCTTGCCATCTGGTTATCCCCTGGCTTGGGTGGCAGTGTCCCGCCCAGGCACTCCTGGGTGTGAAGATGACTCACCAGCCAGAGAGTGATTGAGTCCTCATTGTCTCCTACTTTACAGCGAGATAAGTCCCATCCCCACCCCTGGGTTGTGTCTGCAGGGTGGATAGGAGGCTGGTTCACACTCTCAGGGCAGGAGACGGTGCAGGTGTGTCTGAGAAGCCCGAGGCCTCCCCAAGCATTTGCACTGGTCCCTGTTCCTAGTCGAGCCTGGCACCTGCCCACAGCACGCTTAGTTGTCCTTGGAGCTTCGGGACACCTTTTCCCATGGTTGTGGCAAAGGGCTCCCCTCTTCTGGGACTTTGGACGAGTTACTCCACAGCCTTGGCTTCTGCTGAAATGGGGGTGAGGGTAATACTTTGTGGGGTTCATTCGTGTCCCCAGCATGTGTCCAGTGAGTTTCCACAGCTGTAGGTGCCTGGGATACAGAGGGACACCAGAGAGGGGGGCCCTGCCTTATGGTGGCAGTGACGAGGACAGGCAGCAGTACAAAGACACAAGGGATGGCCCAGTGTGCCAAGTGCTACACGGGTGAATGGGCACGGAGGGAAGATTGACAGGAAGGCCTGTGGGTGTCCAGTAGGCAGGGACCTCTCCATCAGAGCCTTGTCTCCCTCCCCTCCTGACCTCAGGAACACCACTCAGCCCCTGGCCTCCCTCAGATGCACCCTGTCTGGGAGCCACAGCCCGGATCCAGAACTACGGGGGGTCCAAGGTGGGCTGGGTCTCAGGGAGCCATCCCATGCAGCCCCCAACCCTCTGCAGGTCAACCCTTTCCTCCCCTCGCTGCTTTAAAACCTTCCAACAAATATTCCCGGAGTGCCCCTTGGGTCAGGCACCGAATAAGACAGCCGAGGCTTGGTTTTTTTTTAACCAAAGAACGTGTGAGCATTTAATGAACTTCCCTCTATGTGGCTTCAAACTATCAGGACACAGCCCGGCCTGGGTGGTTCAGTGATTGAGCATCGACCTATGAACCAGGAGGTCACGGTTCGATTCCTGGTCAGGGCACATGCCAGGCACATGCGAGCTTGATTCCTGGTAGGGGAGGGGGCGTGCAGGAGGCAGCTGATCAGTGATTCTCTCTCATCATTGATGCTTCTCTCTCTCTTTCTCTCTCCTTTCCTCTCTGAAATCAATAAAAATATCTTTTAAAAAAACCAAAAAACTATCAGGACACTCTCACACACACACACACACACACACACACACTCACACACACACACACTCACACACACACACACTCACACACACACACACTCACACACACACACACTCACACACACACACACTCACACACACACACACTCACACACACACACACTCACACACACACACACCCCCCTTAATCTTCTCCTCAGCCCTTCTGCTGAAGAACTTGGCCTCCATGGTGACAGGCTGCTGTGGGAGCCTCCCCTTCCCCAGGACTCTAGTAGGGACCGCACGTCAGTGATAACAGCTCACCGACCACGGCCCACAGGTTATCGAGGTTGACAGTGGGGCAGAAGCTCTGGGTCCTCTCTAAGTGCTCATGCCTCAGTTTTCCCAGAGGAGCCCAGGCAGTAACCCTGGGAGTTGGTCCTGTGATGATGCAAGGCACCCGCAGTACCTCGGCCTCCCGGGTGCTTCCTGTGCTGGCCGATGCGTCCGTGGCTCACAGGGCCCCCAGGCTTCCGGGTCTTCCTCCGTCTGGGTGGCAAGTCGTTGGGTGGCTGGGATGCAAGAGGAAGCTGAGGTCTTGATGGCAGACACGCACCTGCTAGTGGGGCCTGGCAGGCAGTGACAGGAAAACGGTCCGCAAAGACGCCTTCTCAAGTGTTCTGAGCACATGAGAAAATGGATCGGGGTGGTGAGGAGTCCCCCAGACCCGGCGGGGAGTGGCTAGTGGGGTGCTCCAGGGAACCCTCACTGGTGAGGGAGCAGTGAATGCTGGTTATCAGCAAGAGGGTGGCAGTTTGTGAAGATCTGGGGCCAAAAGGTCCCAGGGTTGGTGACTGTTTTCTACTTTAAAAAAAAGTATATCAACCATTGAACTGGCTGGACCGAGAGGTAAGTGCCCACTTTCAGGCTGGGCTGTGGCAGGCAGGCCTTTCTGGAAACCAGAATGGGCTTTGGATCCCTTGTCCCTGGGCCACCTTCTCACAGGCCCGGGCCCTTCCCTGAGCCTCAGTGGGCAGAGAGCAGCAGAAAGGGGAGAAGGGAGGAGGCCGGGGCTGAAGCGTCCAGACTTACCTTGCTCTCCCCCAGGCGGCCTCTGCAACCTGTGTGCAGACAGGGCCAACAAGGAGCACATCCTGCAGACAGGGGGCGTCCCGCTCATCATCAACTGCCTGTCCAGCCCCAACGAGGAGACTGTGCTGTCCGCTGTCACCACCATCATGTACCTGAGCTCGCCAGGCCCCGGCTCCCACCCCGAGCTGACCGCCACGCCCGTGGTCCAGTGCATGCTGCGCTTCTCCCTCTCGGCCAACACGCGGCTCCGGAACCTGGCCCAGGTCTTCCTGGAAGACTTCTGTTCCCCGAGCCAGGTGGCCGAAGCCCGCCGCCGGCCGGCTCACTCTGCCCTGGGCATCCCACTGCCAAGGACCGAGGCCCCACAGCAGCCCTGACCCACGGAGGCCTCAGGGCCGCGGTTCTCTTGCTGCCGGAGACAAGACCGGAATCCTGGTGGGGGCTGGGAAGCAGGAGACGCTAGCTCCCCCTGAGCACTTTCTCCCCAGCTGGTGCCTTTTCAGCCGTTTTAAAGGTGAGTTTCCTCAGCCTGCCAGGCACTGGCACAGGATGCAGGCGCTAGGAGAGGAGTTGAGGAAGACAGACTTTGAGATGTGGAGAAGGAAGTCAAAGGCAGCGCCCTCTTCCTAGGCTGTCCTCAACCAAGGGACGGCCCAGGGCCTGCCACTGATCCACCCACTGCCAGGCTCTCCCTCCTGTAAGAAGCAACCTGGGCCCACGGTCCAGAGGCTTTTGCAGAAGGTGGTTCTCCTGAGAGCAGCTGGGCCTGGGGCTTCGGGAGGCTGCCCGCACTTGAGGAGGTAGCCTGATCCCTTCACTGAGGGCCTGGGGTCATTGTGAGGAACAGGAATGAGAAGCCTTGTTGTTAACATTGTCTCAAGGCTCTGGGTAGCTGGGCACCGGGCATAGTGGGTGTTGGCCCAGAGAACTCTGTGGCCCAGGAGTAACCATTTATCCACACAGGCCATTTGCCAGGCTCAATGGGAGGGCTTCCAGGATGAAGACGTGGTCCCTGCTCCTGTGTGACGCAGCCCAATGTCTGTTAACGTGACCATGAGGCATTAAGACCCAGGCCATGAGGGTGGTGACATCAGAATACAGGCACAAACCCTTGGAGCTGCGTCTTATCCCCACCCCCCCATGGTCCTCGCCTGAAAGCCCTGCCATCAGGGTTCAGTGAGCGGGAGTCCTTGCCCCTGGAAATGCGTCTCAGGAGGCTTTGGGGATGCAGGTGGAGTGGTGCGCAGGGAGACAGGACCAGATACTGACCTAAAGTGTGTGGCTCGCAGTCCAGTGTATGCTGGTCAGCACAGGGAAGGGGTGTGGGGCACCCATGGGAAGCTGGGGTTCAGGAGTGGTGGGGAGTCCTGGTCATCTGTACTCCCTTAAGGTTGACTTCTCACATGACCAAGGGAGGGCAGCTGCGAGAGGAATGGCATCCAGGGGGCAGGGAGGTGGGGCAGGTCCTGGGGCCTCTGGGGAGAGGGGGAAGGTCTCTATCAGCCTTCATTCCAACGGCAGCCCTCGGGCTCCTGCCCTTTCCTTTCCCAAATAAAGAGCCTGAACAGAGCAGTGAGCCGAACTGTTTTATTAACAGGTTCCTGACTGACTTCCCACCGTGTTTCCGTGCCACCATCTCGGGAGGTGCCAGGTGGCTGGCCTGTGAGAGTAGAGGTTGCTGTGTCCCCCTGCTCCCCAGCGCTGGGGTCACCGCACGAGGCTGCCCTGTCACTTAGCTCTGCTGGGCTTCCCTGCCGGCCTGTCTTCCCTTCCTTTAAGCACTGTCCACCGCCCTGGGGCCACGGCCGCGGTGTCCCGCTTGCTCTCTATGATCTCCCTCCAGTCGTCCCTCCAAGAAAGCAGCCGCCTCTTTTCGGGGGGCAGCACCAGGTGCTGGTTGTGACAGCAGGTGAACAAGATGTGCTCCCAGGCTGGGGTCTCCTCTTGGCCTGGGTCGGGGCACGGGAGAAAGGCAGCACGCGATCTGTGAACTGGTTGTTTTTGCGCCCTCTCCCCAATCCCCGCAGGCCAGATGCCTGGAGGTTCCCGAGAAAAACAGATCCAACCTAGAATGGTGTCCTTGTCATCGATGAGCAGGTCCCCCAAGACCACCGTCTTGTCCCTCGTCAGGATGATGCGCTCCACAAACTGGGGCCCCAGGTGCTTGTCCACCCAGGAGTACTGTGTAGGGGGCACAGGTGTGTCAGTGGGGCCTCGTGGGCCCCTGAATTCAGGCCAGGGAGGAAGCAGTGGGAGTGGGGTCTGTGGCCTTTGACAGAGGCGGCTCCCCCCACCCCACCCCACCCCCCACGCTCCTGGGTTTCTGCTGGTTTATTTAGAACCAGGACTTGGAAGGGAAGTTTGTCTTGGGGCGGCCGCACCTTCTCACCCACACAGTGCTGGTACTTGATCAGGGGGCTGGTGCAGATGAAGACCTCGGTGCTGCAGGGAAGGCCGGTTAGGCAGGGTGGTGCCAGCCCCCCCACCCCCCACCCCTGGCCCCTCCCTGCCTCCCTCACTCGTGCATGGCGTGCATCTCATGCATGGCTTCCAAGGCTCCAGGGATGGGCTCCAAGTCGAGGAAAAAGCCTGGGCTTTCGTACACACTGGCGACTTTGTCCTGAAAGATACAGTGTTCCCATCCTGGCTTCTGCCTCAGCAGATCTAGCCCCAGCGGGGCCCTCAAAGTCGGGGTGGGGGGGCCGCCCCTATCCTGCTGTGAACTGTGTTCTGAGGTTAGACAGGAAGGGGGCGATCGGGAAACGGAGCAGAGACCATCCGGCCGCAGCGGCGGGCTCCCCACTGGCAGGTGTCCCGTGGGGTCGGAGTTCCCGCTCCCGAGGATTTGAGGTCACGGGATC